TGGCACGACCGGCAGCGGGAAGGGGTTCACCCCCGGGACACCCGTGGTCCTCGCTGAAACGTAAAAGGGCTGGAGCGCTTGCTGCTCTTTCGCCTTTTGGTGGGGTTTTTGTTGTTGTTTTTCGGTTTTTTTCAGTTAAAAGATCATGAAAAAATCAAAAAGCATCCATTATCTTCTACTCGATGTGTAGGTACAAGGTTATGAAGTTTTTTCCTTTGTTTTGCAAAACACGGACTTCAGATTGTTGTTAAATTGGGTTCCACAATCTAACTTCCACTGCAGCAGTACCAAAAACCATTTCAGTGCTCCTTAGCACATGGGAACCTACTGCCAGGTGAACACTTGCCTGCGTTTCTTTTTAGCTTTTCACACTGAATACAGGAATCCATGTCCCTCAGGATGCTGTGACTGTAGAGCTCACGTCTGTCACACACTTCGAACAGCCCCTTCGCTCTGTCTTGCAGCTCCACGCTGACCAGAAAACGGGCTGTGCGCTGCGGGTAAGCAGCTAAACCTCAGGCTGGAACCGCACCTTCCCAAACTACTCCTGCAGTTACCGGGGAGGTCAGGTACAGATTTAATTATTGCTCTAACTCCTCACTGACCATCTCATCTTCACATTTGGTTCATTTTGTTAGTAGCCACTGACATGGTGAGTTCCCATCTAGAGAGGCAGGTGAACAAGTAACGAGGGGAGCTGCCCGCCTGCTGTGAGGGGCAGTTTTGTACAGCAAAAGCCAGCGCCTGGGCAGTGACCCATGGCACAGGAAAAGGGAACGGGAAGAGAAGCAGCTCCTGCGGAAAACAGATAAAGCAAGCTCTCACCAAGTACTGGTTCCATGTTTCGAAGAGGCCAACCCCCATGCTCTGAAAACAGAGGGCACACTGAAATCAAACATCTCCAACATTAGGCCTCCCGCTGGGCCAGTTTGACTCAACAGCTGGGGTCTGTGGCTACAGAGCAGCTGCCTTTAAGGACGAGACATCACACCCAGACAGTGTAACTGTTTTACCAGCAGCTTTCATCAGTCTGAGGACAAACTTTCTTGGAAGAGCAAACACCTTCTAGGGTCATTTGTAGCCAAGAAAGTTGCGGATGCATTTTTGCTGCAGAGAAGATGGGGGCATAACAGATGTTTTACCAGAAAAATTACGAGCCACCAGCCACAGGGTAAGCCTGTGCCCTTACTCCTGATGGTCCCCATCATTCCTGAAGTTTCTTAGCCTATAATAAATAAATAACAGTTTCTTAGCCTATAATAAACTTATGTCGGTTTCTGTTGGTTTCGTCTTGGCAGCACTTATGGAAAAATGAAAAGCTCCGAGTTTAATGTGGTTTTATCAAGATGAAGTTTGTGTACCGTCTTTCAAATGTTTTGAAAGTTTTTTATTGCAAATTTGCTGGATTAAGTGATGTGACATAAAAAGACAGTCAGAGCCAAGCATGTATTTCTGACCTTTGTAGTAAAGCAGCATAGAACCAACAGCTCTACCTGCCTGGCACCATGACTTTCACTGTCCCTTCCATCACAGTCTTTCCACTTTCTTTGACTTTACATGATACTGAAATGTGTGCAATAGAACCCTTCAGTCGTTGAACTTCCGCTGCAGCTACAACTTCTTCACCAGTATACAACGGAGATGGAAATCGGATCTCCTGAGAAAGAAATATACAACCTTCACCGGGCATTTTAGTACCCAGAACTGCAGAAATAAGTCCATTGATCAAAACTCCATGAACAATAGTCCTCCCAAACCTAGATTTCTTTGCAAAATCTTCATTTAAATGCAAAGGATTTGTGTCACCTGTTAAATCAGAAAAGGTAACAACATCATTCTGTGTAAAAGCTTTGGTAAGTTCAGCTTTGTCTCCGACTTTTACGTGCAAACTCTGAAGTACGGGATGTCCAAGCAGGGAGTTGATAACTGTTAGCTTTGCCAAGGCTCTTTGTCGGAAATTCCCTCCAGAAATTCCACGCCAGAAGGGCTGCAACATCTCAAACAACGTCTGCTTCGTACAGCCAGTAACTGCATCAGTCCAAGACTAGTTCTCTACTGTTGCCAGACAATGCAAGAAGAAATGGAGATGTCTAGTTTGGGAGGAAGAAAAAAGAACAAGACAAAGCAAGAAACAAACTAAATTGTTTTAAAAAAAATCACCATCAAATACACCTAAAGTTGAAAATATTTAAATTTCCCTTCTACAGAAAAGACTAAAAACTTAGAGCTATGCCTGAGCAGATTTTTGTTTAGTTGTGACATGAGAGACAAAGAATTCTTGGAACTCATTTTATTAAGCACCATCCTCTGGAAAGAAAGAAGCTCTTGAAGTGCATGTTCAAGGCCAGTGACTCTTAGAAAGGGAAGAAACGGGGTAGGAAAAATAAAATACTGGACCAAGATGTAGGCCAAGAACAAAACTTTCCAGAAATTATTTTCTCACAGATGTGTTAATGAGATCAGGACTTCTTATTGGAATGAAACCATGAAGTAATGAGACAGCCACTACTGTCACATTTTACAAAATTCATTACAAAAACTGCTTAAACGCAGACCTATATACCTGCACTGAAAAGAATTTCACTCCCAAACAAAGACAATTTTGCATCTAGACCATCTTTCTATGAAGAGGCAGCATCCTCAGCCAGACAGACAACCTCAGAGCAAGAACTGACACTGGGGGGAAGCCATCCAGCTCACAGAGAGCTTTACCTGCAGCACTCGAAAGGCACACCTCCTGTTCTGGTAGAAGCCCAGCAACGTTAGAGCACTCCACAGCTTGACAAGGCCACTAGATAAAGAAGAAAATAAAATATTTTAACAAAATTTGGTCTTCTCAGTTTTCTTGCAGCATAGACATCTTAAATAAAAATATTTACATAAAATCTTTAAAAATCTTTACATAAAGAGTAACAAAACCTGAACTAAATTTACAGCAGGCAATTTCACCAGTGAGCTCCGGCAGCAACACAATGACCTGAAGGGTTAGTGCAATGACTGCAGTCTCTTGTCCCTGACGAGATACCTAGTATAACCTTTTCAGGTTCACTTCACCAGCCCTGTTCATGTTCCCTCTCTGTGTTTAAGCTCCTTCTTCCCCTAAATAACCTACAGTTGTCTTCACCGTTTAAAAGGGTAACCATTCTCACCTTTACTACAGAAGGAGACTTGAAGCCGCACATTTCAGCTGTGCTTAGTTCCAGTGAGACTATTCTGTTTTAAGGGAGGAATAATGTCTTGATACATGCTGAGTTACAAAACCTTAGCGAATTTTTATTTATTTCCTGCATGCAGATGTCTGCAAGTTAGGCTTAACTCTGCAAAGACTGTTCTTAGATTGAGTTCTGTTCTCTTACAAAAAATACTGCCGTTGCAGCACCCGAAGTGCACGCCTACTGCACCTTACCTGCTGATAACTCTTAATATGGCAGACAGAGTTTTTTCCTCATATATTAAGACATCAACAGGCAAAGCAGCTCCCACCTATGAAAAAAATGTTAATAAATAAATTCCATCTTATGTTCTTATAGTGGTTTATAAGCAAGTGATTTCACCCCCATCATGTGACATCATTAAAGGTGTTAGTTACACTCAAATCCCACAAAAGCATTTCAGCTACACCACCACTAGATTTTTATAAGCACCCTTCCTCTCAGAGCTCTTTAGACAGAAGCTGCTTCAAGTTCCACATTACAGCTGGAGACACTGGGACCCAGAGGCAACGTGACTCAATTAAGTCCCCCAGAAATACCACAAACACAGAATGAACAGTGCTGTGTATTTCCCCATCACGAAGCTGTGCCCTTCCCACAGTTATCCTTTTAAGACCTCACTGCAGTGGAAGTTTCAATACCCCTAAGTTCTGAAAGCCAGATATGCTGAAGCCACTTGAACCTGTGTTCTGTTTTGGGCCCCTCACTACAAGAAGGCCCTAGAGCGTGTCCAAAGAAGGGCAGCAAAGCTGGGGAAGGGTCTAGGGCACATCTCACAAGGAGCAGCTGAGAGCACTGTTTAGCCTGGAGAAAACAAGGCTGAGGGGAGACCTTACCACTCGCTACAACTACCTTAAAGAAAGTTGCAGAGACTGGGATCAGTCTGTTCAACCAATTGATAAGTGACAGGACAAGAGGAAATGGCCTCAAGCTGCACCAAGGGAAGTTTGGATCGGATATTAGGAAGAATTTATTTACTGAAGGGGTTATTAGCCACTGGCACAGGTTGCCCAGGGCAGTGGTGGAGTCCCCATCCCTGGAGGTGTTTCAGACTTTCAGCACTTCGGGATATAGTTTAGTCGAGGACTTGTCAGTGTTTGGTTAACGACTGGCCTCGATAACTTTAAAGGTCTTTTCCAATCCAGGTCAAACCGTACAACCCACAGCTTCATTAGGAGCACGTTACCTCACTGGCGGGAGCGCAGGCAACGGGCGAGGAGAGGCAAACCCAAACACTCGCCCTGCCTCTTCAGCCCGGCCC